CCGTATCACGGTACAGTCAGCTCCGCTATCACGCTGCTTTTCCTCGAGCGTTCCTCGCGTCTCCGATTTTCTCAACGAGATTCTTTTTCCGGAGGACACTTCCGGGGAGGGACAATTCGAGACGTCGTCTATATAGAAGCTCGTATCCACTCGGGAGGCGTGAATATTGTTCTTGACCAAGTGCTGTTCGCGATCTTTGCTCCACTTCTGCGGTCGTTCCCGTCGAATATAGGAAATCGGCCCTTTTATACTCGAGGACTGCTTTGTCCCACTTTTACACCGAGAAACGCCCTGTACAATATCCGCATCGCGTTCCAATAGACGAGCCAATCGAGCCGACCATTCGAATAAACGAAAATATTCCCTTTGCGAGCCTCCTCGTCGCTCCTACTAATTAGCGACTCTGTCCAAGGAAAAAGAAACGAACAGCAGGAACACTCGAGTGAACGGTACAGAAACACCGGCCGAGAACAAAGGAGCGGACCGTTCGATTTCCATTCGAATCCACCGCGAAGAGGAGCACAAAGAGTCGGACAGGATAATGGGGAGGGTCCGTGGTCCTCATTGTCCGGGCAACAGAACCTCCTTATCGAAATTGGCGGCGGCCGGCGCGTTGTTATCAGGCACGACTGTACATCAGGATCGTGAGTCAGGGGAACGGCGGCGGCGGTGGCGGCGGCGGTGGCGGCGGCGAAGAGTGGAGGCCGTTTCGCCGGGTGTCCCCTCCTGGGGGGACACGTCGGTCGGAGGACAACGACGGCGACGAAGGAGACCGCCACCGCCAAGACCCCGGCGAAGAAGAAAAGAGAGACGAGCGGCCGTGGCGCGGCTTACCACGAGGCCGTCGCGAGCGATCAGTTTGTTCGACGTGCACAACCGGCTCGGACGTGGCTGTCGTCGCCGATTGTGAACCCGCTGTGAGAGCCGCCATAGAGTACCGCTTGGCTAGAGAGCCGAAGGATGCCGAGACTCTTCTCTGGATAACGTCGCCTGGATCCTCCCTACTCCTCGTACGTTTCTATTTCTGTTCTTTTGTTATTTCTCGTTTTCCGCGTTTCCGCGGGAATAATTCTCGGCGCATTGCTAACCGCAGAATCTCCTTGAGCGTGTAGTAAGATCTAATTATCTTTCGCAACTCGAGCTACGAAAGGAAAGAAAGGAAAAAGAAAGTGAAGTCGGAGGACTTTGGAGACGTTCAAGGAAATTGGGGATTTGTTGGCAATGTGTTAATGATGTCTGATAAATATCGATCTACGATAGATGTGCATGATGAGTTTTATCTTGCAACCTCGATTTATCGCGCGGTAGCGTTCGACTATTTTCAAACAGTGTGCTCCCGGGGCTGAAGTTGAAATAATGTTTTCCGTTGCAGTTCCTCTAGAGATCGGTAAAGAATTCGGTCCCGTTGATTTCCCGGAAGCCGTGGAAAGTCGAAGGAACCGGACATTATCTTCTCGCGGAGGAGAGTCCGTGGAAGCCGCGAAATCGAGGGATATCGTTCCATTAGCGGCATTGTTCTCGCCGCGCGGCGCAAAAATTCGCTTTAACGATCGTGCCGGGGAAGTAACCCGGTCTCGCCTTTTTCCGGTAAGGTCGCCGGTAGGAAAGCTCGCCTTATACTGCCATTAGTATAATTAACCCAGATTTTCCCGGATTTATGGTGAACGGCGGCGCGCGGGTCAGACCCGCGGCGCTCACTACGTCATAATGCCCCGTCCACAACGTTCCTCCTCCGGCGTTCACGTATTTCTGCCCGGTGAAACCGTGTAATTTGCTTTGTTCGATGCCGCGTCTTCACGGATCCGCGAAATTGAGGGATCATTTAATAACCGATTACGGCTGTTCGTTCCCACTGCCGAATCAATTTAACCCTTTGCGGACGGATGTCGGCGTTTCGGTGAGATGAAGTATTCATATTTAGAAGATTAACTCGCGAGAAAATGATGTTTAGTAACATTACTGACTAAGTTGTTTGAGTTTAAGTTTAAGTTACTAATTGTTAATGTTTAACATCGATTAAGATGTTTAACCGTAGTCCTACGGGCTTTTGCGAGAAACCGGTTGAAAAATGCCAAGCGGCGTGATCGCGCTTCCTTCAATTTAGAAACTGAGTTACGCTTTTTTATTTTTACAAAAACAGATTTTAAATAGTGCGATCACTGGATTTTTGCAATCTTAGGCGGGCAATGACAAAAATAAAATTGAATAATTAGAAGGAAAAGAAATAAATAAGCTTCATCTTTAGATAACAGAGAAGCGTCATCGCGTTTGGGACTCAAACGGTTGATTATATCAATGACTAATGTCGAACAGCAAGAGATCAGAAGGTAGTTTCCTTTGTTCTATTAATTGTTCAATTGATACATCATTTAGCTTTGTATGTTGAAGGTTTTATATGTTTCCAAGAATCTTCGTCCGCAAAGGGTTAACTTCTTCCTGCGAAAATGCAACGTTTTCGTTTCTCGTTCCTCTCCGAGGGAAGACCGGGATCGAGGGAGAAGCGGTTCCATAACAGCGGATCATTTGATTTTATTTCGTCGGGATTTAGGCTTGATTAGAATTCAGGTTGTCGGGACGTATTAATCACCCGATGGCAGACTAATAAACGCGAAAGGTCGCGCGGTATCAATTAATAATTTCCGGACGTTTCGCGAGATCAATCCGCGTTCCTCCTGGGCAATTAGCTCCTAACGCGTCGCCGCTATTGATGGATCGATTTTGGATGACGCCGCGGGAGCTGTCCGCCTGTGTTTCTAATTACGATTACGTCCTCGAATCGGGGGAACGATGCTATCGACAACGAAGAAACTATGTAACAAAGAAAACGGACAAAATTTCAGTTTCGAGAAATCGATGAATCGATCGATACCAGAGATCTTTACGCAAATTCAGATTTTTAAGTGTAAATTTTCGTTTTCTGTAATTGTACATGTTCAGATTCTCTGTAAACGCGTAAAGATCGATGGTACATCGACAGCAACGTCGAACGAATGCATCTATCTTCCATCAACGAATGAACTTTGACTTGACAGAAGCTTTCGCGTTGCATCTGAGAAGATACTCAACGAAGGACAATGTCGGAGGGTTGCACGAGCTGCAGGGGTGCAAATTACGGGGGCACCGCGCTGCAGTTAGGCTCGGCTTCCGGCGGCGGGACCGGAAGCGGGTCCTCCGCGTCTGCGAGCTCCTGCACGGCCACAAGGAGGGTGCAGGTACGCGCGAAAGTGTTGTACGGCTCGGGAAAGGCGATCGCGAGCTTGCAAGCACAGGAGAAAGCTGCCAGACACTGACAAGGTACGTTCGAATTTTTCGTGACAGACTCACTCGTGGATCACGACAGAAGAATAAAAAAAACTTACAGTATCTCTAATATCAACACCGTGTTATACAATATCTTACATAGGCATTAGAACGTCAAACAAGTCAATCGAATACTGATGTCAGAAACATTCCAAGATACCTTCCATCTTCATTCATTCCTTAACGATCCACGAGCGATCGCAACGCATCGCAATCTCGAATAACCGAGCATCTTCGATCCCAATGGAACGTTCCCATCGAAATTGTAGGATTTTCAATGTGTGTACTGTGTAGGAGAGGTGTAATAAGCAATACTCTCTGGGTTTTAACCCCTTGGTCTATGATTTCTTTCTCAACTCTGATCGATACGGCTACTTTGTCATTAATAATTTATTGGAAAAAGAGAAAAATTTGAAACATATGTTATGCCTATATTTGCATTTAAGTATAATAGTTGATTACAGGGAAATAATATTTACTTTGAATTTGACTGAACTGAGTAATATACATATTTGTTGAATCATGTCGAAAATCTTCACCACGAGTCTCACTGGTTGTTGTAGGACAAGTTAATACACTTTTAACCCTTTGCACTCGAGAGGTGACTCTCACTCACCGCTTGATTTCATACAGTAAAACTATAAAATTTGATATTTAATATTATATTACCTATAATGCATCATTTTGAGAAATATTCAAATAAAACAGCTTTATTCCTCAATGTACGCGTGATTTCCCGTCGACTTAGTTTCACAAAATATCGATTTTATCTCATCAGAAAATGTTAAAATATTTCTAGTGAAAAACTTCCGAGTGCAAAGGGTTAATACTCTTGACTCCTCCAACGCTCGTCTCCGACTGCCCTCGCTGCCTTCGCGCATCTTATTTCATTCTCAATTATTCCATCTTTCCCTTGCACACACCCTCTCACTCACACAGTCCTTAACCCTTTGCACTCGGAAGCTTTTCACTAGAAACATTCGACACTTTCCGATGAGACATAGACGACACTATTTGAAACGGACTAATAAGAAAACATACCTAAATTAAGAAACAAAGCTATTTTATATAAATGGTTCACATACTGATGCATTACACAAAACTTAATATTACATACAACACTTTGTAATTTTGTTATACCAAATCGAATAGTGACAGAGTCACCTTTCGAGTGCAAAAGGTTAATTCGATCCCAAAACACTCTTTATTCGTACTTCGATCTCTAGCTTTGTCACTCGGTCCTGAACATTCACTCACCGATCCCTACCGGTCATAAACACTTTTCACTTGCACTCTAATTTTTCGCAAGCTCTACACTCCTATCGTTCGGTCATAAACATTCTTCATTCGCACCTTAATCTCTCGCATACCCTACAAAACGATAGTTCTGTCCCGATCGGAGGCACGGAAAAAACACAGGTACCCGATCGTCGCGTGGAGTAGGCCATCAGCCACGGATTACCATAGCATCGATCTCGATTTCTCTCCAAACGAGCGATCTAACAGGAATCGCGCGTGTGTCTCCTCGGGGCGTTGAATTAAAAACCGTACGTTCGGTTCGGTTCGTTGTCTCTTTCTCACCGCGAGCAACGATCTCTCGATCGTTACGCGACAGGGGGATACCCCTCTCTTCTTTCTTCTGCCGCGATCCCGCGGAGTGCCCGTGGTCGAAATCAAAGAGGTGACGGCCGGAGGCCAGTCGAGTAACAGTAAAAATCCGAGAAAAAGGCTCACGACCGGCCGGATCGGGCAAAAAGCAGAACAAAAATACACTCTGCATCCTTCATCGCGGATAAGACCGGTCGGCCAGCCTCCTCGGGGCTTAGTACTTGGTGGACCGTCCTCGCGAAGGCCGCGTGTCGCGGTCACACGCCATATTAAACGACCACCGTTCCACCGAGAGGGGTGAAGTCCCGCTGACCGCTCTTCGAGGGAGCACCCGGTAGCCATGCGACCTTCCGCATTGTGAGTTTTCGCTTTTTTTCGGTGCCGAGCTTCGAGATGGCTTTTCTGGCTCTATTCTCACCCCTTGCTCTATCATTTCATTCCCAATCGCAGTTAACACGTTGAATGCCACGGAAATTTCGGTCATAATATTTTATTTAAAAAATTAATACAGTTCATAAGCGAAATATGACCGAAGTAATATTCAAGTTTTTTTTTTAATTTTATATATTTTGATATCGTTTCTTGATGTTTCGGTGCTTTGTAACGTATACAGCTATTCTTGACCATGTGTCCCTTAAAAATAGTTTGTTGGAAAAATTAACATAAACATGTAGTACACGTGGCACTGAACGTAACCCCTTGCCTTGCAACAACGTGAGACTCGTGGTAAATAATTTAAGTAGAATTTAACAAACATAAATATTACTCGATTACTTTGAATTATTAGATATTATTCTTCTGTTATCGATGATTCTATTGCAGGGCGAACGTAGACAGAATATGCATAGAACTTTTCTGTTTTCAATAATTATTAGTGATGAAGTTGTTGTAGTTGGAAAATAAAATAAATCATAGGGAAAGGGATTGATAGGGATATTGTTCCTTGTTCATTAGAAAAAGAGGAACATTCTGTTCAGACGCATTAGGATAGAGCAATATTTGGTCTATCATCAATCCTGATTTCCAAATGAACGAGCATTGACGTTCCCAAAATCGGTGAAAATAAAATTAACAGAATCGACTGTACAATGAATACCTGTAATCCTAGAGTTCATTAGTTTGATCTAAATTTTCTAGAGCATTGTTCAACTGGTGTCTGGCATTTTTCCTCATTCGATCGTCGAATTCCTTTGTCGTCCAATTTACCTTTATCATCCGATTTCTTTTCTATATTTGACACGTCATATTCCGCACGATTTCATAAAGCAAAATACAGAAAATGGAAAAACTGTAATATTAAATCATTGAATTGCATTATTACTATCGCACGTTCATCTAGCTGGATGTCACCGCGTTAGACAACATTATTTATAACACTAGAACTACAGTACCAGTCAAAATGACTGGTTTCAGTTTTTCTGTTTCGCAGTTATTGATATCTTCTAAGCACTGAATATTCGGAATGATTTTGAAAATAAATAGTTTCATATGAATACTATAATGAATGTCTGAAGGAACTGAAAATAATCTATTACTACAATATTCATAGCGATTATATTTCAATCGTATCAAATGCTCGGTAGTTCTAGTGATAATATAGAAACGTTCTCAAATAATCATCGTTTAATTGAGTGGACTACTGTAATTCGATTTGGTTGGGTCACTGGTGACCCCTATGGCATTGAACGTGTTAAAAAATAGAGTTTAGAGTATCAGCTAAGTGCCCGGATCCCGTGTACACGCGTGAAGCCACCGGAACCGAGCGGCAACAAAGAAAACGCAATTCGGTTGTTTCGTTTCGTGGCAGCATCCCACGATCGGCTGTCCCGTTACATCTTTCCACATTCCAAATAAAGGATCCGTGTTACTTGGTCGTGTTGCTCGCGGCTTCCTTCGTTGGCCGCCGCCTCCCGACGAGTCGTCGTTAACACATTGCGTACTGGCTAATTATCAGAAAATTCAATTGTGCGGATTTTCAGCGAGACCCATTTATATCACTGTCTATAAAAAAAACTAGGGTATCATATTGTTATGTAATATATTTCAAATGGACAATTAGTTCTAATCAAATTTGATATTTCCTTAAATGCTGTGGTAATTATCAAAGTTATATAGCTAAAAGTCTTTGTATAAAAACGAGATTTTTCGGTACCAGTACGCAATGTGTTAATCCTTTGCACTCGAGAATATTTTTCTCGACAAATATTCATTATGATATTTTTTACAACTAACATAAAGAAATACCCCGCATAAATTAAGTAACAGAACTATTTTATTTCGACGTTTCATATGTTGATACATTAAATAAAATTTAATATTGAATTTTAAATTTTACCATTTTATTGGGTCAAAGCAATTGGCGACTGAGAGGCGCTCCTCGAGTGCAAAGGGTTAAATATCAAATTTTATAGTTTCACTGTGTCAAATCAAATAGTGAGTGAGAGTCACCTCTCGAGTGCAAAGGGTTAACATTCGTTCCCTCTAACTTTGCAGTATGGCTGAATATATTCGTTTTTGTCTTCCGACGCATTTTCGAATTCTCTGCATTCTATCGAACGATAATTGACTGAGAAAGATTGAGAAAGGTTAATTGTCTATTTCCTCTATCCCCCGTCTTAGATGTTGTGGTAATTATCAAAGTTATATTGCTAAGAGTCTTCGTATAAAAACGAGATTTCTCGTTACCAGTACGCAATGTGTCGGTCGACGGTTTCTCCGCGCTGGCACCGTGACATTCGAATGAGTCCCATTGAAAATCGACCTGTCCGGCTCGAGGGAGAATCGCGTGCAACCGATCGGTGCCTTTTTCGAAATCGTCTCTTTTCTCGACGGAAAAAAGACGTCGGTTTTCCTAAAGTCCTCCATACACGCTGAAACCTGCGACGACAACCTTTAACCTCTTCTATGATTTCTTTCTGAACTGTGATCGATCTAATTACTTTGTTATCAATGATTTATTGAAAACAAGAGAAAATTCGAGTGTTATTCTATGTCAGCGTGTGCTTTAACCCTTTTTGGTCTGAAGTGCTCTTGGTTTCTCACTTTGAGGTTCACGTCGACGTTAGTTCATTCAATTAATACTTAACCCTCTATGGGCCGAATTTATGTTCATGATTATAACAAAATCTATGCAGTACAAAATTAATAAATATCCACATATGAATATGAATTACCAACGTACTCAATAGTTTCAATAATTTCATCAAACGAATATATTTTGTAACTTTCAAGTTACAGTGACGTTAAACTCTCACGCCTGAACGTATAAAAGTTCAAGTTAACTGATTACTTAATTTTATTCACCACTTTCAGTGCAAAATGAAATAAATCAACAAGATGTCACATACTGATACGTGACTTCAAAGTTACATAGACCTATAAAGGGTTAATATGACGGTCTATTTATTTATTCAAGAATATTTGAAACACACTCTTAGAAAAAAATCTCTGACTTTCCAAAATTCTACTGCTACTATTGCAGCTGCCATCACAGGTGATCTCATTGAAAAGAAACTGAAATTTTCGAGCGTGTCTAGCAATTTCACGCATCGAGCGACGTGAATCGCGATTTAGGAACCGTAGTGTGAGACCAGGCTAATAAATGACGGAAGCTGCTCACGTAACGATAGAGAATGAACTTCGCGACACCATGGATTTTATTTCCTCACTGTTCACTTTTAACCCCTTGCCTTATAATAACGTGTGACTCGTGAAAGTTTCAAACAGCACCTAACAAATATAGATATTACTCAATCATCGTAAATACAAATGAAATATTATCCTTCTGTTACCAATTATTATAATTTAAAGCAAAAGTAGAAGATAGCTAACATTTGTCTCTCTTTCCAATAAATTATTAACACTAGAACCGAGCAGTAAAACTGATTTTTAAACATTTTTTTATAGAAACCATAGAAATGTTAGTTGATTAACATATCAATCATATCAGTAAATCAACTGTCTTAATCATTTCTTGAAGTATTTATATGCTTTCAATCATAAAAGAATAAATGAGGAATGGGTTATTTTGACCCATCTGGTAGTTCTAGTGTTAATGGCAAAGTAGTGTCGAAAATAAATCGTTGAGAAATAAAGATTATTTTAATTTTTACTTATCATTATTTTTTCGTTACTATTTATTTTTATTTTTGAACGATTTTCGACACAACTACTTTGCCATTAATAATTTATCGAAAACAGAGACAAATGTTAAGTGTGCCTATGTTCCTTTAAATTATAATAATTGGTAACAGAAGGACAATATAGTTGAGAAATAAATCGTATGGCAAGGGGTTAACCGTTTGATTCGAACCGATTCTTACTATATTCTTCAAGAAATAAATCAAAGTAAATTTACTTGAATAAATGTTACTTTTTGTAATAACACAATATTTCTGATCTCATTAGACAACTACTCTTATCAATTTTTTCGCATATACACCCAATCACTTCCGCATTTTTGGTAAATATCCAGAAAAGTTGTTTAGCATCGAAACGGTTAAGGACAACCGATGTCCTCTCCGTCGAACAGTAACAGCAGCCGATCGTTGACCGATTTCCACGGGAAAACACGGCCCCGAGCGTTTTGTTATTCGCGGCGGGTAACAGGGTGAAAATGTGGGTAACGGGTGTCCGCGTATCACGAATGCGAATCCGCGCATCGGCGGCCGATGATCCAGTTCGACGCCGGCGTGACGGGAATCGCGGATGCGCCGCCGATCCGGGGGGGCGGCTCCTCTCGCGATCGGCGCAATTAAATGCGAGGAACGCGGCGGAATGCAAATGCGAGCGAGGGGGGCCGCACGTGCTGCGACCGAACGGTACCCAACGTGCGCGAGAGCTCAGCCATTCACACGTACTCCCCGAGCGTAACCCGTCCCGCGAGAAAGTTGACGTCACGCTCCGCGAGACGCGCGATTGATAAGATCCTGGATCGTCGGATGCTCCCGGGAGGAATGGGACGTGGCGAAATGGTCGGTCGTCCTTTCGCAAACTTCAATAACGATCCAACGTGGAAACCCGTTTCCAACGGGCGATCGATCGAATCTTTTAACCCTTTGCACTCGAAAGTTTATCACTGGTGGCCTTCAACATTCTTTGATGGGATACAGACATTTTTCAAACTTCTCGAGAAGTATAGATTGAGAAATGAAGATACTTACATTAAAATAAGTGACGATAATAATTGTGGTAATGATCCTTCGTTAATACGTTAAATGATATGTCAGTCACCGACGTGAATTACTTGGAAACAATTGTAACGTTAAGATAATCGATGTCAAATCAAAATGTTTAATAATGTAAGTAAGTTGATAATACTGTAATGCAAAGATTGTAACGACGAATAGTGAATTGTTGCTACTTTTCTTTGCTAAAAAGGATAACGACAGAAAAATGGTCAAAATTTCTTGGTACTTAACGTGTTAACGATTACTTTATCGAAAGCGACAAAAGATGATAAAACCGAACGTTTTCCAGAATCTTCCTCGCCCTGCTCTCCTCCGCGCTTTCGAAGTCGAACGATGCAACGCGCGGGCCAACGATCGCCGAACTCGAGGCCGCCTCGTTAAACGGAAAAACCGGCTCGACGGATAGCGGAGGACCGGGAGAAGTCGCCTTAGAAACTCTGTTCATTCCCGAGGACCCCAGCCGTTACGCCGAGGTCTCGGAGCAAGTGCGGAAGCTGTTCGAACGAGCGGGTCCGTCGAAAGTTTCGGAGCAGCTCGGCCAGGACGCGAGATATCCCGTCGAAGGGGAAACGGAAGTCGAGGAGACGCGGCCCTCGGAGCAGGAGATCCGGGCGGACGCCGCGGAAAACACGACCGAGTGGAGGCTCGCCGCGGAAACTTCGTCGCCGGGGAAATTCTCGGCGGACTCGGGCCTGCTGGCGCACGGGGAGGCGTATTCGCCGAGAAACCCGGGAGGTCTTTCCTGGGGGACAGAGGATAATGGAGAAGAGCCGGAAAACGACGGCCAGGATTCGTTCAGCGGAGAAGGAATCGAGCCTGATGAAGAGGACTTCGTCGAGGCAGCTAACTTCGGGCTGGAGGCCATGAGGGATTTGTACCTCGTGAAAGAGCCTACGCTCTATTCGATGGGTAGATCTCGTTAATTCATATCTAGATCCTTCGGAAGATGTAGTTTCCGAATTAAAACTAGTTAGGGAGTTTCCGACAAGTTTTCGAATGAAGTTAAGGATTTCGGGGTAGTCGGATGTAAAGATAGGTTTCCTTTGATTATTGTGAACTAGCGGTACTGTAATAGTAGAGAGAATAATGATCTTTGAATTTATCCCTTAACACGGTGACTGGTATGAGAATTTCTAGCGTTTTAAATAGTAGTACTTATTCTTTAGTAACAAAGGCAAATGAAGATAATGATTTAGTGTTACAGTAGTCACTCTATGATCTAGCTACTTATGTTAAATATTTTCATTTAAAACAAAGGTTCTTATGCCATAGAAGTAGCATGGCAGTTTTATGTAACGGGTCAAAATCAGTCTATGATTTTCATCACTGTTATTGCTGTAATATTTACAATTAATACTTTGAGTATTGTGCTAGCTTACTTCTGTGAATCTGTTTCTACTTGTTATAGATTCCTTTTGTAGTATAGATCAATATGTAACTGGATGTATTTCAAGTTTCCTTACCAAAACATATCGTAACAGATAACATATTATTCTGTACTATGAAAGGAATCTATAACATATTTTTCTATACTATAAAAGGAATCTATAACATACTGTTCTATACTATAAAAGGAATCTATAACATTGTTCTATATTATAAAAGGAATCTATAACATATTGTTCCATATTATAAAAGGAATCTATAACAGAAACTTCGAGTGCGATATAGAGAGCTGATTCATATATTATCTATAATACTCATACTATAATACTCGACGGCAGGTCTTTACCTCGACTCGGACAACCCAGCGAAGTATGTGGCAACTTTCAACGACCAGTCCGAAGAAGCGAGGGCACTCGCGAAATACGGTTTCGCGGTGCTTCAAAGTACCACGATGTTCAAGAGGAAGTAAGAGCAAACGTCTTCCCGGCTTTCAGCGCGCACTGGCTTGATGCGTCCTTTAATCCTGAAATGCTCTTTTCCTCAAGGTTCCCGGACACTCCGACGGACTTGCTGCTTGCTCGGCGTAGTCAGAGCAACCCACTCCAGCGTCATTGTCCAAACAGAGGAATTCCCGACTGTCCGGCGGCCAGTCTGCGTTACAGAACTTCCGATGGGAGCTGCAACAATCTGCAGAATCTTTGGTGGGGCTCCGCGATGTCCCCGATGAACAGGTAACTCGTCGGAGAACGAGAGTCGCTCGAGCTCGCGCGAGCCCATTGATCTACGGAGAGCGTCGGGTCGTTCCAGGTTCCTCCCACCGGTTTATGACGACGGTGTGCAGAGTGTAAGGAGATCGATAGGCGGAGCACCTTTGCCGAGCGCGCGAGAAGTGACCAGCGTTTTCCACGGCGACAGAGATGTACCTTTGGCTTCGGTGACTCACATGCTGATGCAGTGGGGACAGTTTGTGGACCACGACTTGACAGGTGTTTAGTTGAATCCTCGAAGAGAATTCGAAGCTTAGAACAATGTTTCCCAACGTGGCGCAATTTGATTTTTAACACTAGAATCACCGTACCAGTCAGAATGACTGGTTTCGATTTGTTTGTTCGCAGTAATTAATACCTTAAAAGCATTGAATATTTGAAATGATTTTGGAAATAAATAATTTCACTTGAGTACTATGACGAATATCTAAAGAAACTGAAGATAATTTATTGTTACAATTTTTATAGAGATTACATATCAATGCTCGGTAGTTCTAGTGTTAATGGGGGCAATTTGAAATTTGAAGTATCACTTCATATATTTTACAGTATTTACGCACGTAAACGAAATAGCAAAAATATTATAATAAATATTATAAGAATATTATAATAAATATTATATAAATATTATAACATAATATTAAAAATTATATATATGTTACATAGGGAGGCACAAGAATTTTAGAAAGGCTTAGGTGCTGCATGGCACAAGAAAGGTTGGGAAACACTGCCTTAGAATATTTTTATTTTATTCTTACCATTACCATGTTAATAGCCACTGGCCAAAGCAGAGGCTTCAACGGAACCATTCCGCAATGCTGTCTGAACTTCGGCGTCGGTTTCCAACCACCGGAACTCATGGTTACTATCTCTGAATGTATCCCGATGTTCAATACCGTGGGATTGTACCGCTTAGAATAAAATATTTCCGTAGCATCCCGAGTGCCTGCCGATCAGCGTGAGCCCGCAAGACGCTTTCTTCGGTCCTCTAGGAGTAAAGTGTCTAGAGTTTCTGCGAAGCGGTCCAGCTCCCAGGGAGAACTGCAAATTCGGCCCCAGGGAGCAGTTGACGCAGGTGACGAGCTACCTGGATGCGTCCACGGTATACAGCAGCAACGCCTTTCAGACCGACACTTTGCGGCTGTTCCGGAACGGTAAGGCTTCGCTCGTTCGACGGCGGTTTGGATTGATAGCGACGTATCGCGGAAGCTTGTCAACTGGCTTCTTTATATTTGTGCCCCGTCGAGGTTTATCTTAACACATTGAGCGCCGGCCCCGTAAAAACGCGGGATTCTAAGTCTATCGCTTGAGCGCCGGCCCCGCAATAATGCGGATTTTTGGATATGACGAATATGCAATTAAAATGTACTATTTTACGAAAATGTATAATGTTTTGAATATTTTTTTTGGCTACTCATTGATCAGATACAAGTGAATGAAGCCGGCATTTGGGCTAAGTGGCCGATACGTTGGCGGCGCTCAGGCTTTAAATGTCTCTTAACACTAGGTTTACGGGCATTTATTGTACACTTCATTCTATTATTCCTAAAAGAATTGATGCTCGTTTATTTAGATTGTGGAAACTGGAGATTCGATAGTAGGTAATTGGGGTACATGTCAATGTGATCGCATTAATCAAAATCGGCGTAAACGTTTACAAAATAATATTTCTAAAATCCAATATGCATCAATTTGAGGCGTTCCGTAAACCTAGTGTTAAGTCGCCGGCGCTCAATGTGTTAATCCCAACTTATCGCCGATTATAATTGCCGGTGGAAAATGCCTAGGTTTCCTGCAGTACGGAAAGATCCAGTCGCAGAAGCCCGTGCTACCGAAGCAGGACTCCGATCTTTGTCGACGGGGGTCGTTGTCGACGAGCTGTTTCCGCGCCGGCGACGGCCGGCTCGGCGAGCAGCCAGCCCTCACGGCCCTTCACGTGGTCTTCCTGAGGCTTCACAATAGAATAGCTATGAAACTGGCCGCACTGAATCCTCACTGGAGTGACGAGAAGCTATTTCAGGAATCCCGGAGGATCGTTGGCGCTGTTGTTCAGCACATCACGTACAGGGAATATCTACCGATCGTTCTTGGTGCGTGGCATCCGACTGTATCCGATAAAGAGGTTGTAAGAAGGTTCCAAGGTAACTAAACCGAAACACCGTAGGCCAGGATGTGATGAGGATCTTCGACCTGGAGGTTCTCAAGAAGGGCTACTACGAAGGGTATGACCCCTCCGTGAACCCCACCATCGCGAACGAGTTCTCCGCCGCAGCCTATCGCTTCGGTCACTCGCTGGTGCAAGGCAGCTTCGTTCGGTTCGACAGCGATCATCAGCCTATCTTGAACAGTGAGTAGACTGACAGAGGAATAATGGCAGATGTGAATCAAAACTTTGTTACAGACGTTACCATCCATAAAGAATTCAGCAACCCTGCGAACCTGGAGACCGCGGGTTCCGTGGACCGCCTCCTCCTCGGGCTGATCAATCAACCCTCCCAAAGAAGAGACGAACACATCAGCGACGAGCTGACCAACCACCTGTTCCAAACCCCCAGGTTTCCTTTCGGCATGGATCTAGCTTCCATTAATATTCAACGTGGCAGGGATCACGGGATTCCTCCTTATGTTCAGTGGCGGGAGCCGTGCGGCCTGTCGCCAGTAAAAAGCTTCGAGGACCTAGAGAGAGTGATGCCCCTAGAAGTGGCTAAGAAATTTAAGCTGATCTACTCCTTCGTAGAAGATATCGACCTCTTTACAGCTGGACTGGCGGAGAAATCCGTGAACGGGGGACTGGTAGGACCAACCTTCGCTTGTATCATCGGCCAGCAGTTCAGCAATCTTCGCAAAGGGGATCGGTTCTGGTACGAGAACCCAAATCAGGAGAACAGTTTCACGCCTGGCCAGCTTCAGCAGATTAGACGCATCAGCCTGGCGCAAGTGCTGTGCAGAACCATGGATGAGATCGACACCGTGCAACCTTTCGTCTTTTTGATCCAAGACACCATGAGGAATCATCGAGTCACTTGCGAGGACCCAGCGATAGGTCAGCTGGATTTAAATTTCTGGAAAGAGAGTCAGACAGTTAGGAGTAAGCCTAGAGTCCTTGAAATCTTCAAGAAGAAGAAGCCTCCGACTCCTACTACCACTGCCAAGCCCACTACCCAAGGTCAAACTAATTCAGCGGCTGGCGAACAATCGGAGAAGAGCTTCCTGCACAATCTGAAACCTACGCAACCCGCCATCTACCAGCAGAACAAGATCGTCGTTAGGAAACCACTCGGTCCCCCGGAGAACATAAGTATAGTGGTGCACAACAACGCCGTGAATTCCCCTGTCTACGTTAAAGAAGGAATTTACGGGTCGAACGTGCAAGCAGACCCCGCGCCACACCACGGTAACACTCCTAAGCCGTCGTTCGATCACGTTAACGACAGACCAATTAATCAGGGCCCCGTGCAATCGATTCCAGTTTACGTGCCGCCAAAGCCGATCCCCACGGTGTCGCCGCTTGCGCCTCAAGCATCGACCGGCCGACCTTATATTCCATACGCTTTCGACGATCCGAACAACCCGAATCCTTTGAGCCCAGGCTTCCAGTCCCATTACGGCTTCAACGATGTCCTGTTCGAGAGTTACTCTGCTACCAGTCCCAGACCGACTTTGTACACTTACTACACGAATTATCCGAGGCCAGTGACTCAAAGACCATATCACGAGTATGTACACGATAGACCTCAGTATCACGAGTCAAGGCCGCCGTTGAACACCTGGCCCACTCATGAGTCTCAGTACCACGGCGGGCAATACCTGTCGAAACCTCTGTACGACAGGCCGGGCAACCAGAACAACGCCAACGGTTACGCCATCAATTGGCAGGAACTGCAACAACAAGGTTTGATCAGTCAACTAAGCAACGCTGGGTACTCGAACACTGAAGGCTACCGAATCAAACCTAACAAACCGTTCGTGGATCCACCGAGGGATTCTAATTGGCATTATCAAAACGACAGGTACCGACCGGATCACAGACCAATGGTGGAGATCAAACCGTTAGATAGAAACGAGTACACCACTTGGTCTAGCGTGTCGTCTATCGACAAAGATCGGTATAACCCCAAACCCTCGTATCAAACGATTGGAAGACCGGTTCAAGCGGATCCCGATGGCTGGTCGGTTATCCCGAGTTATCAGAAAGAGTCGGTTAGGCCAGGCACTGTTTATCAAACTGTCACTGCCAAACCGATCGACCGAGGAAGCACCAATGATTACTACTCGAAGAACCCATCTGAGAGACCTTCCTTCTCCGAGACATCCAAGTTCACGGATTATCAGAGACCAAGACCTTATCAGAACGATGATTCCTTTCAGTCGAACCTTCTGGGCAGGCCCAACCAAAACAATCTCGAACACAATCGAGCTCATTCATCTACGATTAGACCGAGCCAAGATCAACGGATCGAGCCAGCTGATAGCTTTTATCAGAGTGACGTACGGCCGAAACCGACGAAGGTACACAGCGTCACGATCGTGGCGGAGGGGCCGTCGGAGACGTCTGTTCAAACCGGATACAGCACGGAGAACCAGGTGACCAGCGAGGTTCCAAGGCCTCTGATCGTTCATGTGAATGATAATAAACAGGTTATCAGGAGACCGGGACAGTATTACTACGAGAAGAACGTGTTGCATAGGTACCCTGATAAGATAGAGAGCCAGTCTACGACGCACAGGTATTTCGCAATGGCAGATGATGTCGCGCAAAGACACAACGCTCTGGGAACCGAAGAATCGATCGACGATCCTATTGTCGATGCGAAGGGAAACGAGACCAGCGAGACGGACGACAATCGCGAAGCTTCCTCTGGAGAGGACGAATCATCCACCAACAGGTGATTTTCATGTGCAAACGATTCATTGATAAATGAAAAAAGTCTGTTCGCCGTAGCGTGCTCGATTTCTAACCGATAAGATATGTGGTTACACTCATTGTTGTACATATGACGCACTGCCTCTTAAGACCGTTCAACGCTGAGAGTACAAGATTTTCGCATTCGTCCCGTTCCATTGGTAAATACAGGGATCAGCGGACAATTGTTATCTGACAGTCCGCGATCAGCTGTTTTGGCATAGTGTTTGCTCCCCTCGTGTTTGCTCGGCTTGAACCGACGTCGGGATTGTAGTTTATCATTGCCGCAGAAATTGCAACGAATTTTTAGGTGGTACTAGACCGCGGATCATCGAACGTTCATGAATTTGCAAATGTAAAATTCCACTGAATGCAGGGAATTCGAGGAAAGATCATTTATAGTGTAATTCTAGCTGAGGTAAAGGCAGTAATTGGGTCCCTCTGCTTAACACGTTGAATGCCGCACGATTTCACGTAACAGAATGCACAAACTGAGAAAAATGTAATATCAAACTATTTCATTGAATCGTTTTATTATTTCACGTTTATCTTGAATGTCACTGCATCAACGCCAACCGCGAAGGGTCAAATCTTTTAAAATTTGGTTTACAATTTTGTATTTACCTTTGTCCATTTAACTTCCTATTAATGTTTATATTGCTCGCTTAATCAGTTTATCAGTTTTTGTCTTTGTTTAAGTTTCTACTAAAAATATTGCTCGTCCAATTTGTTTACCTTTATTTTATAATTATTTAGCTGGTTAGAGTGGAAATAGTTATATATAAAATGCTGGTACGTTTAGTGTTACGCAACATAATTTATATAAAAATATTTGCAAACAATCATCGTTTAATTGATTGAATTATAGTAATTGGATTTGGTCGGGGGTCACCGGTGATCTCATGGCAATCAGCGTGTTAATACAGCATTTACTGCTGTTTACACAGAACACTTATCTTAACTGCTCAACTATTGGTACTTTTATCTTATATTCTTAATAATTTGAATTTCAGAGATCCGCAAGTCCAACTATGAGATTTCCCAAACAAAGATAGGGGCCATAAATAATGATATTATTCATCCATGAAAATTCCACTTTATTCGCTTGTCTTTAAACACGCAAGCCGAACGCAGTGGCGACGAAGTAAGAAACCGAGTGTCTTAACAAGAAAACGGTCTTGTTTTTCTTCCTGCTTCCAGAACCAGCCAATGGCTGACTCCGCAAGAAGACTCGAGCCTGCCGTCGGCTCCGGAGCTGCCAAAAATGTCGTCGGACCTAACCGCAGCTGCCAAGGAATTACCCAAGCCCATTACGCCCAGAAATTACGCTTCCTAAGTACCATTAGACGTCCCCGTTGCTTCGAACGATCCTCTCCTTTTATTCAGCGGCAACTTCGGCGATCGTCGCGCTGGATGCACGAGACTTTTACAACCGTTTATATTTATTGTCTTCCAGAGAAAGATTCTCTGGTCACGCGACGGATCGATTCGCAGCTGGATTATTTCCGCGAATGTTCAAGGGAACGCAACAAGTCGCAGGTTTCTGGGTTCAAAGAGTAACGATGAAAGAGACTCGAATTAATCCCTTGCTTTACAACAACGTGACAAAATTTTCAAGATTTCGAACAGAATTTAACATTACTCGATTCTAAAATCAAATCAAACATTAGCTTTCTTCAACCCTAATCAGACCACGATGTGATTTTGAATTACATTTGAACTTTTTACTTAAACTTTTTGATTATTTCATATTGCATTTCCAAAAGTTTCTTTAGGCTTTTAACATTTGGGCCCTATAAACAAAAACAATAACATTTTAACACGTTGGCTGCCATGAAAATTTCGAGCGTTTCGTTACAGCAAGATTTATTCCTTTATAATACAGGAAAATGGTATTAGAAATAATTATTAATGTTTTGGTATTACAGTGTTCATATTACACTATTATCTAGCTTCTTGTGTTACTGAATATTTTGATTCAATAGCAATTTAATGATTCCCTTTATTTTCACAAGTGACTGAGAGTCACATCGTGGTATGATTCGTTATAAAAACGTACGATTAGGGTTAATCAATGATCACACTTCAAATCAGGCATACAATATATAACTTTCCTCTTTCTAATAAATGATTAACAAAACATACTCGCATCGATCGTGGTTAAGAAATGAATCACAGGTCAAGGGGTTAATTCGATCGGTACTCGATTTATCTTTGAATCGGTACTTTCGCGAGCAAATTCGTTCGTTCGGAGAGATCTTTCGATCCCCGGAGCCGAATCGAATGGTAGATTTAAGCAATCCGTAGGCGAGAGTTACGCCGCGTTGTATCACGTCGACAGATTTATGAATGGCCAACGGTTTCGCCGGGCATTACCGATTGCCCAATGACATACGCGGCGTGTCACGTTCCCCGAAGGGTCAGGTGGAACGTAGCCTAGTTCCACGCCAATTTTAAACCGGCTCGGTGTCCGCCTGGAACCACTCCGTGACTATTTTCAGATGGAGTCGCCGCGTTTCTTGCCGGCGCCGGTCGACACCGGCGATTTTAATTACAGGTTTTACCAGCACTTCTCCTCTTCTTGCTCCGGAGAAGCCTTATACATCCGCGGCGAGCAACCCTTCCCCTCGAGTCGCGCGGCGATCGTCCCCGTTCCTTCTCTCTCCCCTTCGATCAACGAGTCGGAATAGTATTATCGACGTAGCATGTAGTTTTAAATTATTCTTAACTTGTTAATATATATATATAATATTTATATATATATATATATATATATATATATATATATATATATATTAATCGTTACCGTTACGGTTGTAGACTAGAATGGAATGAATGGAAAGAAACGTTAATCGTCGTAAAAACTTGCACGAGTTCTTCATCGTCCTGCTTCGTTCCATCCGGATGCTAACACTAGAACTACCGACCAGTTAAGTGGTTAATAACTTTCTCAATTTCTTCTGTAGATCAACTACTTTGACACTAGTCACTGAACGCGTCAGTGCTCGTGGATTTCATAACGAGCTTTCAACCACTTGCGCTGCAAATGAATTCAGAAATTTGGCAAAGTCTATTGATGACTCATTAGACGGTGTGTAGCATCAAATATGTGGCTCGTCAAGCGGTTTGGTAATTAGAAAACATTACCATATAGTTGAGAATTAATTTACTTATCGATCATTTCAATATTTTTATCAATTTTGAGAATTCAGCTGCCAAATGGGAAAGAGTGGAAAGTACAGCGCCGGTGTGAACGTGTTAATCATTCTATATAGAGTGATGCATTTCGAAGTAATCTAATAGGCGTAATGCAACAAGATTATAAACTTCTGAAAGACATCATTGAGAATTTTGAGATAGAGACGTCTCGACGTGTGACACGTCTTTCCAACGCAAGTGGTTAATGGTCTAGTTTGAAAGCTTTAACTTCCGAGATCTAAGGGAACATCGATTTTCCTAGGATAAATAGACGATAGAGGTCGTAAACCTAGTAATCTCTTAAACGAGCATTTGTGTTCTTTCAATAATCACGAAATCGTTGGGTTGTTGTGGGTTGTTTTGACTAATTTGGTAGTTTTGGTAGTTCAAGGAACACGAGTAATGTTTAACATGTCGTCGGATCGATCCCGTCGCTGTTTCGAAATGTTTCCCAGCGACTAGACGGATTTCGCCCGGAAACTTCGCCTCGCCTAGGGAAAAGAAGTTCGCGGCAAGTTTCCCAGCCGCGAATAAAGCTCCCCGGCCGAATTGCTCGAAGACCATTCACCGTGTTCCTCGGCATCGACGACCGTCCCTGAGAAAACTCGCCCCTTAACACGACGGACGAAACGTCGATGGACTCTTCGCGACTATTCAACTTTCAGGAACTTCGGGCTTTACGCGTCCGACGCTGTAATTCCGTCGAGAAACAAGCATTCTCGGGCTGATGAGTTTACGAAACCGTGGCGCATGGTTTCGAACAACACCGCGTCGTTGCCTCGGAATAATTCGCATCGATTGTCCACTCGATCAATAAAAACGTCCATGGATCATTCGTTTCGTCGTTCGTCGTCGTAGATCCTGTTAGAATCGTCACTGACAGAATGAACGATTGAGAAGCAAAGATTCTTTCCTTCTTTTCTCTCGAGGCTTTTGGTTCACCGCGATTTTCGGTCATTCGAGTAAACTGGAAGTACCGGTAATCGTATCTTATCAATGTAAGAAAAAAAGAACGTCTCGCGAGGAACTGGTAGCAAGCGTATCGACTCGAATTTTAGCCTGGTTTCCGCGTGCTTTCCCTAACGATTTTTCGGCGGTCCCCGGTGGGGACCAGCTGGTCGCGCTAAGCTGGTCGCTAGGCACCGGTTTTCGGGTCAGCTGAAAACACAGCGGCGACCCGATCGAAATGCAGTCTTCGATGTCGTGACCTGGATCCGCGGTTTCTGCGGTTCGTTGCCTCGCCGAATGGAAATGTGTAACGTGAAAGGTAAAATTTCTTCGCGGCGCGCACGTTTCCACGGTACCGATGGAAACGGCCGGAGGACTAATTGCGACAATGCTTCCAGGAACGATCGTCCAGTGATAATGGCTCGAGAGCGGCGACAATCCCGCTCGGATTCGCGGGTACTTTCTTTTTAATTGCGGACGACGGAGTGTTTTTTTCTTTTTTCCACCGGGAAGTCTCTCCTCTTTTTTCGTTCGCGGTCGAACTGGTCTTTAAAAGTGGACCTCTCCGTGAAAGCTTGAACCGCCTGGCATGGAATGACGCGAAGAAAAAGTGCCGGTCGCAGGTGCATCGATTTCTTTTTTCCGTCCTTTGACATCCGGCCTGTCTTTCTTGGAAAATTCATTTGTTTATTTGTCGTTAGGTTTTTACGGGGGACGAGCACGTATTTGCGACGATCGTTTGAAACGGCAGCAACGATATTGTGAAACAGAATACTCGATGGATGACTTTGTATTCGACCGATTGGAATGGACGGTACTGATAGCTGATTTATCGTGGAGCAGAGACGGTTACTCTTGTTAATCCGACATTCATTATCCAATCAGATCTAGTCTTTCATTTTATCACTGTGTCCATCATTCAAGGTCCTTAACCCATTGCTCTCCTATGTCGAGCCTAACTCAGTTTTATTCTCAGGTGTGACTCTTTGTCGAGATATTTTTAAAATAGATTATATTATTAGGTTATTTTCGATATTATTGGTAAGAAGGATCGTTTACACAGCTCTCTACGAACTAACTATTTCATAAAATACATTTCATATAAAATATCGTAATAACACGGAGTTATCGAGGAAGAAATGCGAAAGAAGTTCAAAGTGCAAAGGGTTAATGATACAGAACTACACCGGACCCTCGATTTATGCGAGAATCCGTTCCACGTGGGTTCGTTTCACTCGAATGAAAATCGTGTAAATAGAGCCTGTTGAAGAGAGAATCTGGTGTAAATTTTCGAAATACATGCTTATTTCCCATAGCTTAACAAAGGAAATAATAATAACGACATATTAAACAAAAGTATGTTTCATTCGCTGTTACTAAATTCAGATCGCGTAAAAAAGTGACTCGCCTGTAAAAGGTCCGCGTAAATCGAGGATCAGGTGTACACAAATATCTTTTACTAACCCTTTGAACTCTGTAGGCTCCCATATTACAGCAGTCATAATATTAAATATTTTAATGAATCTTAAACAAACCACCCCAAAATTATTAGATTTTCCATTTATCCAAATTTTGTGCTAAGAAGAAAAATAAAAGATCGAAGAAATGTTATAGCACTTTTCATTTTCGCTAGTACTATAAAAATTGCAGTTGCTGACAGATTACAAAACGACCCGGAGTGCCAAGGGTTAATCCAACAAATATTTCGTTCATTGATCGCAATCGTCACGCCAGGATCTCGCTTGAAATTAGCCGCGCGGTGAAAGCGGCGAGCGTTTAGAGAACAAACGCGACGCTTAGGAGCAATTTTCCAGCGAAGATCCCTTAAAACGGGGGATCTCTGGCGTGGGTTACATCAACTCAATTAAATGACGTAAGAACCGCGGCTTTCGTCACGATTCTCACGCTAATCTTCCGCCGCTCCTCCTTTCGCCGTCACAATTACCGTCCGCGTAAACTGTCGTCGTGTTGTGCATGCTCCGCGACGATTAATTAAAACGCAAACCTCCCGGGCTGCATGGAACAAGGACGCGCGGTTCGAATTTCCGGGGGAAATCCCGCGCCCCGATTGGCTGGTCCGCGTGCCGCGTTCTGTGTCCCCGTAATGGCGGCTGCGCGCGAAACTCGATGCCGCGGACGGATGCTGACAGGAATCCCATGGTAAACAATGAATCAATGAACGTTAAACATTGATACTCTACTACAGAACCATAAATTATTACGAACTGTAACCATTGTTTATAAAAGAATAATTGCAACATTCGTATTTCAGGGGAAAACACCTTTATACATGAGGTACAATGATATAGGTTATGGTCTCCATCGCATAAGGTAAACATTAACCCTCTGTTACTATAATTCCAAATCAATTTGAATATTAACAAGTTCACTCAGTTGAACGATGATTATTTGATAATATTTGTATATTATAAATAATGCTACTTAACACTAGATTCATTGACATTTACGGTTTGTTCTCTTGCTCTTAGGAAAATCCGTTCATTTAGATCTTGGAAATTAGAGGTTTAAGAATAGATAATTGGGATACATATTTGCATAACTGGGTTAATGAAAATCGAGCATTTACCAAATAATGCTTATAAAATTCAATATCGGTAAAATTGACTCGCTCCGTGAATCTAATGTCCATGCAGTGATATTCAGACGAATGCAATAATAATAACAATTCAATCAAACTAATTAACCCTATATATTTTCATTTCATGTATTTTGCTTAAAGAAATCAAGGTGTTATATATAATCCAGTGATAATACAGTGATATTCAACCAAACAAATGAAATAATAATAGCAATTCAATCAAACAAATTAACACTATGTATTTTCATTTCGTGTATTTTGCTTAAAGAAATCATACGGCGTTCAACGTATTAATTGTATATATATAATTTTAGTATGAGAAGATAATGAAGAAATACTGAAAAAGAGAAATAAAGAGAAGAAATACTGAAAAAGCGGAATAAAGAGAAGAAAATCTGAAGAAGGGGAACGAGCGGATTAGGACCGGTCCAAGGCTGTATCTCCAGGCAGACGAGCGTCGATGGTGGGGATGGTCCGGTTCCGCGTGCCTCGGTGAGCTAGCGAGCCAGCAGTCCGTAGCGACGCGTCCCGGGCGCAGGTCGCTGTCATGTTGTGTTCAATTCGATCTCGTAGTGGTCGGCCGAGTGCTGCCGTGGTGCTGCATTATGGTTTACCGATTATCCTGCTCGGTTTCCTGTCCATACTCGTGCCGCGCCCCGCCGTTGGCCAGGAGACACTCACCAATCGGATGAGGATGATCAGCGAGGACCTGGACCGGCAACTGAAGGTGATCATGACTACACAGGCACTCAATTATACCACGGTGAATACGACCGGGCTGCCGTACAACGCCACCACCAAGTTCAACCCCATGGGCATGGGCCAGCTGTACAACGTGACCAACACGTTCATCGACTTCGTCCAGAGCAAGCAGGCTTACCCCGAAGGTCAGTCTCTCGCCAATCGTTGTCTCGTTTTTCTTTGCTGTGTGTGCCTCTGTCTCTCTCTCTCTCTATCTCTCTCTATCTCTCTGTCTCTGTCTCTGTCTCTGTCTCTCTTTCCAGCCTCTGCATCTCTTCCGGTCGTGAGACACGGTAGTAGGGTTAGGGACAGGTTTTATCCGCGGCCTTGGTTACGCCCTGCGCTGCGCGCTCGAAAATGGCCGGCCGCTTGTTGATAAACAGATCGCTGTCAGAGATGGACAAATATTATCATTGCTCCGTTGGAAGTGGATGGAACAGGCGCGTATTGTTTCTTTTAGGTGAAAATTATGCGCGGACGTTTATGAGATGGATGAACGTTGAGTATATGCTTCACAATTGGAATTGAATTCTGCATTGAAACGGCGGATGGGAGAGAGCCTGTTTGGTCAATATTTATAGTTGGCCGTGGTAGTGTTTGATGTCGAGTTTGAAGGAAGAAGGGGACTTTCTTTGTTGATTTTATTTAGGACGATCGCTGGCCGCTACCTTTGTGTTCGTATGTATCCGATGGGGAGTTTAATAGTGTTGACGAGGAATAGCCGGGTGACTAAGGGATAGAAAGGACTTCTTCGATTCATGTTCGAGGTTACACTTTTACCTTGTAGCCTCGTCGACGTCATCTTCGGTAATAGTATAGAATTTTCATTTTTTTCTCCTGTACCTGTTCAGACCAGTCAGAGCGGTGTCAATGTCTCTAAAAATGCGAACGGCTGTTGCCGTCGGCTTTGCCGTTTGCTGTAGAATCAAAACATCCTCCGCCATGTTTGTTCCTAGTCCTGTGGCAATTAAACCGTTCGTTCTTTGGATAAACTGCCGGATTTATTCAATAATTAACACGTTGACTGCCATGGTGGTCACCGATGACCAGAGCTTTCAAATTGCTGAAGCACAATTACAATAAAGAACTTGATTTTAAATGAACATATTTAGTAACATAAGTAGCTAGATGATAGTGTAATATGATTAGTATATTAATCAGTAGTAATTATTTTCAATATCATTCGCCTTTGTTATTAAAGAATAAGTATTCTATTCAAAACGCTAGAAATTCTCGTAGCAGTCAACGTGCTAAGCTAGGAACCATGAGAACAAAGTGTCTACAGTTTACAATGTAGAAATTTGACTGTCTCCGACGGAGGTCGCTTTCGTTGCACTGAAATCGTCCCAGCCAGTGTTCAGGCATCAACGAGGAGGGATACAGCTCACTCGTTCCGTATCGATAGCGATAAATTTACAACCGTGGGTAAAGCGTTCCACAAAAATCTAGCTTTTATCGCGAAGTGAAAGGCGGCCAGTGAATCGTACACACCAAATAGTTCCATTTTGCAGCAACAACGTGTCAAATTGCGTAACTGCATTTTCTATATTCCAATTGTTGCATAAACCTTCCGCGTTTAATTTCGCGATCCGATCGATTCACACGATCGCCGGGAATTCACTTTCAGAGCCAGTCCAAATTGACATGATCCTTTCCATCGGTAGTTCTTCATTAACCCCTTGGCGCATTTACTTCCACCGGAAAGCATTTACTAAACTCGTATAACATTTTACTACAATTTGAAAGGAATACAACAAAATTTTCCATTCTTCAAGTGGAAGTCTCATTTGAAGATAGTACATTAATAGCAAAACTTTCATCACGAGTCTCACTCGTTATTACAAGGGGTTAAAGTCATGAAACCTCTTCTAACGAGATACAGATCAATCAAGCCACGAAACGGTGTTACACCGATACTCGTCACGGACGAGTAAGTAAGTAAATAAGAAAGTTAATAATGTTATCGTATCGAATCAAGTAATAATTAGGAGTCATTACTCGAGTGGAAAGGATTAAGATTAACAAGACGTTCATCTGAGTAAGACATTACCATGTCGAGTACCAGAGCAGCGCAGTACTGTAGAAACCGAAGCGAAATTTCGGCAGGAATCGGCGTTTCCGAGCAGCTGCGCGTTCCCGTGTTCCCACGCGAGAACGGTTCATTGAAAAACGCGATAGCTTGCTGAACTATCCGGATCAATGACCCTCTGGTCGAGTTAAACGTAGGAGCAGAGAGTGAGAGAGATAGGGCCGCGTGCATCTATATCAATTCTAACAGGAAGTTGATAGCCGAGGCGTTCGTCATCGCCGAACAGACCTGACGCGTCTACCGTTTAGGCCTTTCCTATCCCGTTCTTCGGCAAACGGCGGCTCCCCCTACCCCTTTCCGATTCGGAAGAGCATTGACAGTGAAAGAGCTGTCGATGATCCGCTTATTTATGCTTCACGCCAGTGGCTCTCAATAGGCCTTTGAACGATAGACGATCGACGACTTCACTGGCCGTAGAAAAATTGATTTATCGATTAATTAGAAAGCTGCATTGTATTACAGTAAATTAATTAGAAAGTCAGGACGATTCGGTCAGCGATTTCTCTTCAATAAATATAATATTTTTAACGTTAATCGACACTACTGGTCACTCACGCTGTGAAAGTGTGCCGGGCTCTTAGTACATTATCTGGGCGGCAGCTAGTGGACAGTTTATCGAGGATTACTAATCAATGTTCAAATACATCTGAATCGAATTTCTGATAGCGATAGTAATTACATTCCGGAATTAGCGAATCGTATTTAACAGTACAGTCGAATTAGCACCGATTGATATCTACTCGTTTCTGTCGGCATTGCGAAGATAACCAATTCTGCTCCATTTAACTGATAGTAAGATGTGCACATATATATGTCCATTGGATTAATAAACTGCAGTACTTTCAGAAAACATCATCTCTTACAGATGTGTTCGATGAGAAAAGTTTTCTTTAACATTAGAACTACCGTGTATTTAATACGATTAATATATAATTCCCATAAAAATTATAGTAGTCTAGTAAAACTATTGATTTTCAAGATAATTTTGAATATTCAATGCCTTTAAGATATCAATAATCGCGGAACGAAAAAATCAAAACCAATGATTTTGACTGGCACGGTAGTTCCATTGTAAAATTCGAGAGAAAGGAATCGCCGTTGAATAAGGAAACTTCAATTTTCCAGCCGCGATGTCTCGAAAGCGAGAATTCTACGTCGTTTCACTGATCTTCGATCAGATTTCTGCCGGCTACCGGTAACCAAGGCACGCGGAAACTCTGGAGAGCCAGGATCCACGCTCGGACCGTTTCCAGTTCGATTAAAGCCGATTTTCTGCTTAGTAGTCCACGACGGATGTTACCGGCGAGCGATTCCTCCTGTTTCCTTGTTTTTCTTCGTCCTTGTTCGGCCGTGATTATCGATTGGTCTCGAGGTATATAACGGCATCGGTAACAGTATGGATTATTCGTTAGAGGAGAAGGAGGCGAGAGAGAGAGAGAGAAGGACCACCTTTCATCGTTTTATCGACACGAACAGATGGATCGCCGGTTTGATTGGCCTTCTCTCGAGATGCCTCCATTACTTCCGCGCCACGAACAATTGCGTTTTATTAGCACTTATTGTTTTATTACTCCGCCAAGTGTTGCTGCCCGTTCCTTTGCTGTTTTTTTCTTCCTCCGCCGCTTTGTTCTTTTCAATCCGGCCGCTCCGTCCGAGCGATTTCTTCAGGAACGTATGCACCATCCGTGATTCCTTCGCTTCGCGGACTTGAATTCGTTCACTTTCCTTTTGTTACGGATAAACGCTTAATTGTTTCTATTATAGAACTCCTCCTTTATCCGGTACAATCGGAACCGATCGTTCGATTCCGACGCGAGGCGCGTACCGTTCTTCCTTTGTCCTGTCCCAGGGATTATTTGGTTATTGATGAACGACTCTCGTTTGATAGATTGGTAGGTTACGATCTCTACGATCGTGTTCTCCGCATCAATTGTATCGCCCCAGACGATAAGGAGTATGTGGGTCGAGATCCTTCGAACGGATCGCGAATAATAATTACGCGTCTCCGCAGCGGATCGACTTATTTCCGTGCAACGAGCTTCAACAGGTTGACCCACATTCGTCGGAAGAGAAAATTCTACGTCTAATTCGACCTGGTTCTCTGCTTTCGGCGGTGCGCTCGCGTTGTTTCCGGTGTATCGGAGGCTCGTCGCGAAATCTGAATCAGTGAGCTTGCGAGCCGCCCTTAATCAGTTAAAGAATCTTCCTTTTACAGATCATCGGATGTTTTGTAATTTGTATATAAATTTCTTTAAAGAATTTAAGGAAATTCCTGGCGAAAACAGATATGTACAATCTATCTAGTAAACATTCAACCAACTGCAACTATTTCTGTTCAGTTCCATACGGAACATCGTAATTAGAGATTCTCGAAGTTTGGTTTATGACATGAACAGACATGAACAATGTATTCAATAGTTTTTATAATTGTATTGAAACGAGTATACTGTGTAATTTTGAAATTACAATGACGTTAAACTTCCACGTGTGAGCGTATAAAAGTTGAAGTTAATTCGTTACTTGATTTTATTCGCCACATTGCTATGCAAAATGAAATAAATCAACGATATACGATGTACTATTTACTTTCGTTACTAAGCTCGTGTAATATTTTACTATCGACAATTCGTAAGAAATACAACAAAATTTTCCATTCTACTTGAGGTGGAAATTTGTTTTGAAGATAATACATTGATAATAGCAAAATTGTTTGCTTTGATCGGTGGGTAATGAACAACATTGATTTTTGTTAACCCTTTGCATTCGAAAATTTCCAATGGAAATATTCAACACGTTTTGACGAGATATAGGTGACATTGTTTGAAACTAATGTAACGATAATTCATAGATAAATTATGCAACAAAGGTGTTTCATTTCAATATTTCACGTAACAATGCGAAGTTTAATTTGAAATATTAAATATTCAACTTATAGTTTGTTGTATCGAATCAAGTGGTGACTGAAAGTCAACTCTCGAGTGCAGAGGGTTAAATTAGTTTAGAAATCTTCATCACGAGTCTCACTCGTCATGAAGGGGTTAATAACCGAGCAGGTCATAAACCCGGATTTTCCGTAGGGTCGGCCAAAACGTGTGCATACTCGTACTCTGCCCTCACCCCTACTCGGAAAGGGGGTGGTTAGAGAGCGTCAACTGGTATTTTATAACAATAGAAAAGATACTCTGATTGGAATAAACCAAAGGATGTCTCAGCTTACTCGACTCACAAGTAGAGTGCAAGGCCTTCGGGTCACCGATTTCGTTGAAACTTTGCATATTGGTAGATTTGATTCTCCTGTTTATGAATATATACCATTATAAGGGCAGATACTGAATAGTTTTTTAGATATTCGTTATTAAAAATTTATCACGTCAATAAGTGGAGTATTAATCAGAATAATCACCAAGTTAAATAATGGCGTGAGGGTAACATGCTGGAATTGTATTCTGTAGACCAGGGTTCGGTGCCCCGTGGGAAAAAAATATTTTTCGATTTTTTTTATTTAAATTATCAAAATCGAAGTCGCGATCGAGGGCCAAGAGACGTTTCAACACTTAACCCCTTGGCGTACTATTTACTTTCGTTACTAAGCTCGTGTAATATTTTACTATCGACAATTCGTAAGAAATACAACAAAATTTTCCATTCTACTTGAGGTGGAAATTTCATTTGAAGATAATACATTGATAATAGCAAAATTATTTGCTTTGATCCGTGG